CAGATGAAGTTGTATAAAGTCTCACTCAGGATTTACACATTTATACATACAAATGTATAAAGCTGCTTCTGTTGAGTTTATTTGATGATAGCTCAAAATTTGTACAAAAAAGTGCTTAAAGATAAAATAATCTCATACACTCAAACGTTTTTACACTCAACATTTGTGAAAGGAAAATTTTTTCTAAATAGAATAGAATATGCTTTCTAAGCATTTTACATAATTTTACTTGTCCTTTAAAAATGATCTTGTCTCAAAATTTAATAGTAATTCGTTTAAGCTAAAAATTAATAAAGCTAGGTTAGCTTTGCGAATTCATGAATATTTTAAGTCACGTCGAAACAGTGTCAATATAGTATACTAAATAAATAAGCTATTAAATGAATAGTTTGCGTAAAAATTCAACGAGAAAGAAAACATAAAACGCTACGACACCTTAATTATTCAGTTTTAAAATGCACGCAATTAGCTGTCAATATTTGGTCTAGTTGAGAGCAGTAAAAATGTTCAACACCCGATAAAAATCTTGTTTAAAGAATAATATACACACTTAATGTTGTTAGGTGAGAGCAGCTGACAAAAGTGCGCTTTTTCGCCTTTAAAAACACGACAAGTGGATCTTATAACAACAAATAGCTATTATATGTTCAAAGTTTACTTTTCTCATTGCATCGTCATTTAAAGATAAAATTTTCAGCAATATCTTGACCACATTTCCACTCTTATTTCATTTCATGATTACGTTTAATTGTTTTATTGTTTTGCTGTTGCACATTAAAAAAATTAATGAATTTATAGCTATGAACTCATATAGCTACTAAATAATATCAAATGTAATTTACTACTTACAAATTTCAGCAATAAATTATTAAAATGACAACAATTGTTGCGTAAAAATCGGAAATATTGTTCTACTGTATTGAAAAATGAGCACTTATCTATAATCAAATCATTTCATCATTTTATGAGTTTTATATAATTGTTAAGACCTCAAATGTGTTTGTAATTAGTCTGAATGTATTTTTGAAGATTTCTTAGCTGTTGTAAAAAAATTGTTGTAAATTAAGCAACGACACTGCGTATTAAGACATAAGATTGCCATGATATAGCAATTTCTTTTATGGCTTTTAAGCTTTGCTATAGTTACTTCGAGCTGCTCATACTCAAGCTATAGCTATAACTACAAATAGTTATGCTAGTAACTAATAACTATTAACTATTCAGGGTGGCAAATGTTTGCTTTAAAGACCACCGATTGTTTATCATTTGATTTTGATAGTCAGACCACCTGAATATCTAATTGCCGTAGAGTAACTATTGTTATTATAGCTACAATTCCACTTTCTCTATAATGATGTTTTATGTGTGCTGTGGCCACACTAATAAGTTCACAATGAAGATGTAGATCTGATGCATATTTCCCATTAAACACTTCGACCGGCAACGACGGAAATTTCTGCTTGTGGTCGCCATGGCTACGGCGCCAAAGACGGAGATTTTCGTTTTTAGCTTTTGTGTCATTAATATTTATTTAATGCTATCTGAAGCCCCTAAATGCTTTCTAACAGGACGTATTGCTTAGCTGAATGCAGTACACTTGTTTTTTTGTGTGAAGGCTAAATGTGTTGTTTATAAAATACAGTGAACTAAATATAACTGGAAAGTTACCGTTTGGTATTTCGGTAACACACGAAATAAAGCAAATTTTGCGAGATCAGCCTCGCGATGTGTTATTGTAAACAAAGCAAAAAAGTTAATAGACTACATGTTTATAACGGGAATTTCGGCAAAGCTACAGAAACGAAAATTATTTTCTGTTTTAAAGCCTTTTCTTGTGTTATTAATACAGGAAATTTAAGTTTCCTGCCGAACGAATATTTTTCACTCAGGAAACTTACAAATGGCAAAGGTTAGTCCTAGGATTCGTTCTTGCCGAGTGAGAAGAAACTACGAACTTTTTTGGAAATAGTTCTTTATAACATAGATTTGTTTACGTTCAGGTGCTTTTTAAATGTGTTTTTACATCAGTCTAATAAGTGGTTAAAAAATTTTCTAAAAACTGTCGACATAATAATGCCACTTCACAAAATGTCGAAAACGTTTGCATTTGCCATGTTTGTTAAGTTTGGGTTTTATTTTTTCACAAACAACGGTTGTTATAATGATGCATTAACACTTAAATATTGCTATGAATGAGTAAGACAAAATTACATCTTTCTGAATCTATTCTTGCAATCCATTTTTTCACAGTTTCTTTAAAAACACTGATATATTTTGTTTAAAACGTGTTTATCACAAGTGTGGAAAGACTTGGAACAATACTGCCGACTTCAGCTTCAAGTTTACGGGCGAAGGTAGCCTTCCAGTTATGATAAAATACGATTTTCTTTGGATTTTTCAAAACTTTCGGCAATTTTCGCTTACATTGTCAAACTTTTAAGCTGTTTTTCTCTCGTTTAGATTATCATTGACATAAACTGTTTGTTTTCAAAGTGAACTTACAGTTACAAACTTTGTTTTAGTGCTAAAAGATTTATCTTGGTGACGAAAATATCTGGAGGTGATGGGTATATCATATCGCAGTGGCTTAGTTAACAGTCAAAGTGTAAAGGTGCATTTTATTTTCAATTCAGAGTTGACTAGAAGAATTTGCATGGCAGGATCTATCGTTGTCTTAAATAGGTTATAGTAAACAGTTCAAACCATCTATTCGTTTTGTTTAAAAAGTGGTAGAAGAATACAATCATTCAGGAAACAAAAACATAATGTGTTTGTCTTCAGGCAGCCTAGATACATAAGACTAAGAAAACAAGCTCACAAACTGACAGCAGGAAAGTTTACCATCATGACATTCTATTACAAGAGAAAGAATGGAATAGGAAATTTAGCCGATTGAAAATTGGTGTTGCTGTTTCCATGAACGTACTCACGTGTGATGTGGTGAAAGGAAATATTGGAATGAAATAACTTGCTGCCATATTTATTTGGGTACTTTGTTGCGATACATTTAGAAAGATATAGCTTCTAATCTTTAAAGTTGTCTATGATTGTGTAAAAATATATTAATAAACATATTTTTGATGAATAGAAAAATACTTAACGTTACGCGTAAATAATACTTTATACAAAAAAAAAATACAAGTTAAAACATCCAAAATGCAAGTTTTTAGGTGTGGTAGAATGGTGTATATTAAGCAATGATGAAAAAAATCAAAAGTGATGGAGTATCAGCATTCAAGTGGCATAACCAGCAATTTGTGCTTCTGGTATTTGAAATGGAATAAAGTTTCGATATTAAAACAGCTATTATTAATCCGTCGCCATAGTCTGATGAGCCCGAAGATTTAGGAGGATTTGGAGGTAGGAGAAATCTTGCAATGGCAACGACTTTAACACTATTGATTTTAATACTGCTTAAGAGTATGTTTTCGTGCTGGTGTAATTTGATAACATTTAATTGCATTGTCACCTTTCATTTGAAAGTAAAAGATTTATCCGACTTTTAACCAGTTGTTACACGTACTGCTACATGTACATAACTGCTACATGTACATAACTGCTACATGTACATAACATGGGAAAGCTCTCCACGGTCTCTGTTTGTAGGCCACTGCCGTCGTGCACTTGGTTTTCTGCCACATTAAATTTTTAATCTTTAATCATTAATTATTTAAAAGACTGCATTGTAGCGCTATCAAAAAGGAAAGGGCATTAGAGCAAGGAATTCTCTATGCCATGGGGCTATAAACATAGGCACTTTCGACAAACGATTTCGATGCAATATCTTAGTTATCGATAGTGGTAATTTCTCTATGTCTAAGATATCTTTTGTAAGATATAATTTCATTGACTGACATTGTGCAGTTAGTACAATAGTATCTTGTCTTCATATGAAATCACTGCCATAAAAATAGGCTGGAAATGTCCCATAGTTTAATGTTTGGTTCCATTTTGTTCCTTGCTATCTGAAAAATTTCGTCTTGGCAGCACAGTAAAATTTAGCTCTAAACAGCGTGCTGTCATGTTTATTTTGAAGTTTCAGTTTTCTGCTGGTGATATAACTTTTGACTCGAACACATTTAAACACACGCAATATTTATATTACAAATCTCAAACCTTAATTTACAAGAATATCTACAATCCTAAATTTTTTGAAAAGAAAAAAAGAAGTAATGCTTTTTGTGCCCTTTAACTCACGTAAACCAAAAAACTCAAAAGATGGAATTGAATTTTAAATAATATCAAAACCTTATTTTTATAATATTAAATCTCTGTAGACACGTTTTACTTTCTTTATAAATGTACTGTGTTACGTAATAGTTCATCACAAACTCTTACAAATAATGGTGTAAAATTTTCTGTAAGGCCTGATTTTCGAAAACGTATGAGCTTTCTTAAAAAATTACTATAACATCTGAACTTTGTTTTGGGCCCCAAATACTAAAAGATGAAATGCACATCTTCCATCCCTTTTCTACGCCTTTCAGTCGAAGTATGTGCGCACAAAACAAACATTTTAGTTTTGTATTGCGTCAAATTAGTCGAACAAACAATTTTAAACTAACATTGAAAAGGCATTTGTAAAACAACGAGTGGGAGATCTGTTTCATGTGCATCACCATTGAAAAGTTGATTAAAACAAGGAAATCAAGAATTTAAAGTGAAAAACTGTGAACATTAATCTAAAAGAAAAACTAAAGTGAGTATCAGGTAACTTTATACAAAATGGTTACGAAATGTTTGTAACTTTATGATACATTTCTAATGTTTAAAGTTCAATAATTTGAAACAAAATAAGCAGTATTTTTTTATTTGCGCAAAAATACGAAAAAAGGAGGAATAATGAAAATGCCTTGATATTCTTTAATTCAAATTAACAATTGTCGGTATGATATATTTTAAATTGCATTGAATTCGGAGGATTAAGGGTTTATATCGTGGGGGAGATTAAAGATTTATTACATTCACCCTGCTACATAGAAAATGCAAAATCTTTGAAATTCAATGAATGCATGTTTATTTTACTTGAATGAATGCTATTATTATCCTTTAAAACTTTATACAATGATGATAAATTAAATCATAACAGTTACAATTTATTATAGCTAATATATCTACTTTAAAGTTCAAGTCATGTATCGACCATATAGAGCCTAAATTAAAACACTTTCAATGTTTAAAAGTCAATGACGGTTGCGTCGTTTTTGTCCCACCCAAGTTTGTCTTCGCGAGTCTTTTTTTCAAAATAAGACACATCATTGTCGTAGTCACGGCTTTTAACAGCAGGACATATTTTATGACAGAACTTACTACGGAAAAAGGCCTTGTAGTCTTGACTGCTGTTGCTTACAGTGCAATCACATCTTCTTTTGTGCTGATAACAAATCCTTCGGCACTGTCTGGATGCTCTAAGACAACACGTTGAGCAACTTGGGTTGTTTGTATAGTCACAAACCGTCTTAAAATCATAAGTTGACGTCATCACCATGGTTATTGCAATAGTAGCGACAAGAAGGAAGATGTAACTCGATGTATTTGACATCTTTGTACTAAATATTTGAGAAAATAAATACTTAAATAATACCAGTTATCGCTTTGTTGCTATATGTTTACACATGACTACATGATATTTGTTAATAGAAGGACGAGAACATAAAACTTACCTTAACTTTCGTGCATTTGTGTTAAATCCTTTTCCGTCTGATCACAAATAACTTTAATATGTTTTTAAGAATTCTTCCAGCTTTATATACTCAACATATTCGAGTAAAGGCGCACATGGTATGCCCCCCACCTTAATGTTTACATACACTAAACGTGGCAGCTGTAATCTGATAAATTTATATTTAGTACTTCGTGCGTAGGATTAGTTATAGGGCAACTCCTCATTCCACAGCTCACGCACAAAGCATATAAGGATACTGGATCCCTGCTACCTCAACACCGTATACAGAAATATGATATATAATTGCAGGATTTTTAAACTCTTCCACCTGCTTTGTATAAATCCAAAGTTCAGAACAAGTGAAGCTAAGTGTTTAAGTTCATCCCACCGAATCTTGCCAGTAAATTATAGCTATATGGTCGAACTATCTCCAACCCTCTTATTTTTTTAAAGAACTCTGCTACATGTTGCATTTATTGAACAATGGTTAAAAATTTTTAAAGGAAAAGATCTTAAGATATTATAAATTTACACTCGCATGATTGAAGATAAAAAATATATGTCATTCGACCGAGCGATAATCATAGCTTTGAGAACATGGAATCAGAGTATATGTGTTTTCTAAGCTGTTTTACAGTTGTTTAATATGTTTTAAGATGGTCACAAACTTGATCATGTAGGAATTATTTTAATACTAAAAAATTTATGAAACACGTTAGTCTGCAATTAAATAGTCATTTTGAACACATCAAAGCAGTGTCAAAGAATGCTAAAGAACAAATTAAAAACACCGAACTCCACGGCACCATGATTATTTCAGTTTTAAATTTTTGCAATTTTTGTATTTGGTGTCTCTTTAAAAGCAATAAACGTACGATAGGATAAGTTACCTGGCAATAAAAATGCTTTATCAGGATCAAATTACATGCCATTACCTAATATAATTATCGTATGGCAATAAGAAAGAAATGTAATCTTATAGTGCCTTTTAAAATTATAATGCGACAAGTGGATCTTATAAAAACAAAAAATATATATTAGTAGTTGAAAATTTTCGACAATATCTTCACCGCATTTCGAACTTTCAGTTAATCTTATGATTACGTGTAATTGGTTTATTGTTGTTGCTGTCGCACATCCGAAATTCTAAATTATTTGTCCAAATAAATTTACTCTAAATATCTTTAAATTTATTTTGAATATTTAATTCATGGAGATCCTTATCTGCTCCCTGTATTAAGCTCCTACGTGTCTCTGAACATTATCCTCCTCTTCCTACAAGTTTCAGAAGTAAGTCATCAAAATAACAATATTTGTTGGTTTTCAAACTCAGAAACTTTTTCCAACTGCGTTCTAAAATCAAGACTTATCATGACACTCCTATTATATAAGTCCATCATTTTACATAGTTTTTGTAGACGTTATAAGATTTGTTGTGTTTTTATGTTGTCTGAATGTATTCTTTACACTTAGCTGTCATAAAAAATTTGCTTTTCTGAATTCCTTTAAAAGTCTCCATAGTTTATGTCGCCATGAGGCACTGGGATGAGTGTGCACTTAAGACTAGGTCAAACTCTTGCAAGTGTCATTGCTTACCACCAACTCTTCGTCTTTTGCTACTACTTTAAAAAAGCCAATTAGCTTAAGTAGGGGAAAAGGAGAGCAATGTTATATATCCCCTCAAATACTCATGCAATTTATTTTATACTGCAATAATTTGTTTTACATAATCTGAAATTACAAATCATGAACGTCGTCTGCATATTACATTGAAAATTCGAAGTCTTGCCCCTAAAGCACTCCCACATAGTTGAGTTATTCTGACAAAAAAACAATTAGATGTCATTTATCAAATTTCCCATATTAACATCAAAAATACGTTCTTACCCTACCAGATAACGCAGGCCTAACACAAACTTCAAAGACAATTCAACCTTTCCATGCTTAGCATATGAAATCTTAAATTTTGTAGAATGTGCTAAGTTTGTTGCTAAGAATTGAAAAAATTTTTTTGTCTTAAAATGTAGCTATGTTAAGAAAAGCCGTCGCTGACAAAATTATAAACAGGTATGCTGAAGTTTATAAAGGTGTTATTAGATAATTTCATTAAAAGCTAAGAATTGAAAAAAATTAACGCTCTACCCCACCAGATAACGCAGGCCTAAAACAAATTTCAAAGACAATTCAACTTTTCCATGCTTAGCATATGAAATCTTACATTTTGTACAATGTGCTAAGTTTGTTGCTTCTACTGATTTGAGTTAAAATATTTGATCTTAGGTGAGTTGTGTTAGATTTATATGTCTTTAAATAGTTGCTGGTGCTGAAGTATTTTTCCATGGAGAAGCAAGAATGGAATAGCAGTTTTCAGTTCTTGCCATATACGACTTTTTAATGCTAGCAATCCTTTATATTCTGGGTGTGATTATACTTCAGTGATAAAGAGTAGTGCTGACTTTGCTGAGACTGTACTTATAGTCACTTCATCATTAGTTCTGAAGGATTTTATGTCATAAGTGCAACTAATATTACTCTAAGGACACCTGTGTAGCTGTGACTTTCATACTTTTGCTATCTGTGTACCAGAAGAAGATTGAACTCTAAGATTTAGAAGCCTTGCAATCCGTTAGTTGTCAGACTACTGTATCATTGTGATAAGCAAAGCTCAAAATTGACAATAACAAAAAAACAATGATAAAAAATCCTAAAAAAGTCAAACAGTAGCTAAAAATACATTCCTATACAAACAAATAATAAATAGAAGAAACCTTAATAAAAATGAAAGTATCAAAACAATAAAAAACAATAATTTAAAACAAAAAATTTAAAAATACAAAATGAATAAAAAAGTAATAATAAAAAAAGAAAACTCCAACCTATAAAAACCATCTACAATACACTAAATATCCGTTCGCCCCACAGGCATTGATGATTGTCAATTTAAAAATTTATTATTGGTTGTAACACAATGGGATTCCATAATTTCATTTGAATTTAAACATTTATTGTGCAGCATTTTAGACAGTTCGTCACGCAATCGATAAATTATGGGGTTTGTGTTTTCTATATTTGCGATAAAAACATTCAACTTCAGCTTATTGACATTTTCCGAATTGAATTTTTTACATTATGTAGGGTCTCGTGTCCTGCATGTAAGTTGATTATCTATAGACCGAAGTTATGCTATTTACTTGCACAATCCACGACTGCGATTCAATTTAGCCTTTTCGTATTCCGTTCACACGTTGTATTTCGATTACGCTCTTAGCCCTACCCTTTAATTATAATAACAAGACACCATAATGACAGAAACGTAAACTTAGCCACAGAATAGATACATACAGAAGGGCCATTTCATGAAAAATGCGGTCCCAATTTGATAGCATGCCGACTTCCAAATATGTTGGCAGCAAGATAAACTTGCTACACTAAATAAGGGTAGCAATGTAATAACCCAAAATCTTGGCGTTATTACTCAAAAGTTGAAATATTTATCCTGAGACGACCAAATCAAAGCTGTGCTGAAATGGGAACATACAATCAACATATATTTTTATGCTTTCATGTACAACCAATGTGTACAATTTTATCGAGGCCTGTATGAGAAATGCTGTGCCGTGGCCGTGTGGTCAAGGTTATTCGTATTTATTTATTTTAGAAGAACGGAAGCGGAGAAGCGCTTAACGAACGTTCTTAATCAGAAACAAGAAGGAACAATGTGAAATTTATCAACGGACGGCTACATTAAAAAAGATATTTCGTATGACATTGATTTGGTGCTTTAGAATTCAGGACAACTAGTCATATACCGAACTCTCGATAAATGTTCATTGAGAAATTGCAAACTTGTGCAATTGTATTTAATGCCAATGCCATATTGTGTTGGGAAAATTCTTATATTGTATGATTGTAGCTAACTTCCAGACAGGGGCGGATCCAGCAATTTTCGTGACTGATGCACCACTGCGAGCGCCAAAGGCGCTAGCTCTGTAGGGGGGTCTGGGAGGATGCCCCCCGGAAAATTTTATGTTTTAGATCGTCGGAAATGCGATTTCCTGCGTTTTGACAACAGAATTTAAAAAAAACTTGGCTTTACTTAGTTTGTAAACTTTTCGCAAATTTCCATGATATAAAATCTAAAATTCCATTAACCTTTAAACATTTTCATTACTACTATTTGATTTATCAAGTTTCATACCTTCGCCAAAACTTACAATCAGGAAGGTATCATTCCAATCCACGAGTGATTTTAAAAAGGTAGAAGCTTGGCACATTTTTTGTCGTGAAACGCAAAGAAACCTTTTATATCTCACAAATGAAGCACAAGTTTTTGACCATTAATCACACTTGATACCACTCGTCCAACAGCAGGAAACAATACGTAGACATAGCAAAGAAATGTTCACGATGTAATCATCGTACCAAAGGAAGGCAACAAGTAATGATAAATGTTATTCTCTTCTTTCATTGATAATATCACTCCTCCAAGAGCAGAAAAAGATACGTAGATATAGCAAAGAAATTTTCACGCAGTTACCATCACCTCTAGTTCTACACAAGCAATAAAAATTAGAAAGTCTATTGAATAAAATCACTATTGACTCTATGTTGATAAAGAAAAGCCTTTTAGGGGAACATTCATCAAGCCTTAAAGTGTAATTTTTTGGGTTGCCTTTAACACTCCATAAATATTTTTTTAGATAATTGAATCTAAGCATGGTAATGCCAGTGCTATACTTTCCCAACCAAATTCATGAGACCAGCTTTCAAGGGGAGTATAAGTACGTACCTAATAGCTAATACTATGTGCCCTCCTAGCTTTAATCAAATAGCAATGGTGAGGACTTCTATACATAAGGATCAGGATACACATATGCACATATGCAAAAATAAAATATGGTGGTGTAATATACAATGAAATATGTTAAAGAATTACAATATAGAACTGTTGCTCTAATATCTTTATGTATAGTGGGTAATTTTGAGATAATAATAATCATGTAAAGACAATACAGTAACATCATATCTGTGTAAATGAAATGCTTTGTTGTGTACCCACCCTTTTGTGATCATAATGTTTTATGGTAAATTTAGAAATTTGGCACACTGAAGCATACACTCAAAAAAACATCATCTTGTAAACTCAAGATTCCAGTTATAACAGCAACAGAGAAGATTCAAAGCAATATTTCAACTTCATATGAAAGTCATTATCAAGCTAGGTGTGGAAGAAATAATAAGGAATTGTTGTGGCTGAAATAATATGTAATTACAGTTTGCTTTGCTAAATTTCAGGGAATTGACAATATTAGGCATGCAATTTGAAAATGAAAACTCTAATGAATAACATGGTTGGTCCAGCATAGCTCTTACATTCAACACATTGCATAGCTCAGAAAGTTAGTATTTATAAACAAGCAAAATGTATGAAAAATGTGCCCTCTGTCTGTCACATTGAGCACATATTACAACATATTACATGGAATATTTAAATATCTATCAAATATCCTGAAGTAATGTAATATTAAATTATTAGCTCTTATATTTTTATGTATATTAAGTAACTTTGAAATCACAATATCCATGTGAGCCGAATTAGAGAGGAGATTTCTCCAGGAAGTACGTAGAGACTTCTACCAGTGACTTTAATCAAGAAATAAATATCAGTCCAAATATAAATATGCAGGATTACCCAAATTCAAACATATAGTTGTGAATAAAATGTTTTGTGATCTTATGTTATATGACACTTTATAAACTTGGCACAACAACATGCATAATTATGTGCACACTAGTTATGGCATAAATCCAAAGCATTGCATTATACTACTGGCTAAATTTCATTGAGCCAACAATATTGGACATGGAGTTTGAAAATTGACATTGTAAAATAGAATACAGTAAATTTCGATTTAATAGGTTAATGCAGGTCAGGATGCTTTGAAATTTAAATAAATTCAACAGGGAATAAACACCCCATGTGCCCCTTCCCATCATATTCCTAACATTAAAGAGAGTAAGCCATAAGCATTACATAAATACAAGTATAGACCTATAGCTATGCATTACAATGTCAAGCATAGTAAGCAGTAAGCACTTCAAGCTACTTACTTTAAAGCCCGCCAATTATCTCCCATATGGTTAGGGATAATCAACTCTGCGTTAAGATCTCTCGCCAGCTTTCCTTTTCGAAACAGGTCTGTTTTAGTCGGAATGGCAGCAGAGACTTTTGCTTCATAATCCTTTCTTACAGAAGAAATCTCGCTGGTTTTACTGTCTTGAATCAATGAGCCAAAATCGTATATATGCCTACTTTCAGCCATGATGACTTCAAGATATAAATAAACCAAATGCCATAGTCATGTAATTATAAAATTTGAAGGTTTGAAGATTTATAACGCTGGCTCAAGTGCACCAGTCAGAATGAAATTTTGGTGTTCGTGGGCTTAATTGCAACAGTCAGCAGCGATTTCCCACCGTGACGTAGGCTAAAAAATAATGAAATTCGTGACGTTTAGGTGGTTCACTCGGCCAAAGAGACTCGGGACTGTTGCACCAACTGGTGCACTTTTTCCCCACCGTGACGTAGTGATTCACTATCTAGCCACCGTGACGTAGTAATACAAATTCAGCTCAGTGTAGCTGGATGATGAAACAAATTTTCGCTAAAAATTTCGACACATAAAACGCCATATTTAGCGACGCATTTTTAATAATGCGGCTGTAATCAAAATGATACTCACATGTAAACAATCGACGAAGGTTTTTAACAATATTTCTCAATCATCAATGTACATTTGTTGTCAATATATTGTCAGTGTTAAGGTATTTAAAGCATTTAGAAACTATAAACGTTCCAATCTGATATATTTCTTGCATTTTGCTCGTATTGATTGTAAGTTATAATATGTTGTGAAAGATTAACTATTCAATTTTATGACTGATGCACTCGCATCAGTTGCACCAGCCTGGATCCGCCCCTGCTTCCAGATGCTCTTAACTATATGTTCCTTATATTTGTCATGTTTTAGATAATTTAAAGTAACTGATTCATGCCAGGTAACTTGTTCTTTGCTTCTATCAATATAATATATGTTATTTTCGTTACATCGCTGTCGCTGCATTAATTTTCAGATTAATTTGCTAAATATGCTGCACGTATTCAGCCACACCAGCTGCATCGACGGCACATATTCATCAATTGGACACCACCACCCAGTTGGGTACAGCTGAGTTGCTTTTCAAATTTGATTCGCTTTTCAATTGATCAATAGTTCACACACTGAAATTAGCAAAAAGAACAAAGAAGTAATAAGCAACAGTAATAATCACATTGCTTTTCCTCAAAGAAAGCATGTCCTTTTATCCAGGGAATCAAAGTGGTAAAAGATGGTAAAACATCACAGGCAGAATCAAATCACTGAAGGATGGCTTATATCTATAAAGGCCATTATCTGCCTCTGACCCATTCTCATGCCTCATGACATAATTTTGCATTCTTGCTTACCAGAAAATTAAACACAGATGCTCTAGAGAATTTTTTTGGAACAATACGCCAGCAAGGAGGTAATTCTGACAATCCCATGCCAATACAATTTATCAGAGCTTTTCGAAAGGTTTTTTAGCGTCACTTTGACTCTCTTCCAAAGGAAACTGTTCTAAAGATATGGACACTCTGCTAACACAGTTTTCAAAAAAAAAGCCAAACCATTTAGTATGCCACTTTACCTGCCGCAAAAAGCCCAAGTAACTCACTGTTGATTGGTGAAATGATCACCGAGAACAAAATATTGGCAACAATTTATTGCTCAAAAATGTTGCCTATGTTTCAGGATATTTGCTACAAAGCTTTCAAAATCCACAGCTGTCTCCAATGTAAGAACGTTTTGACTTCAAATAGCATAAAACAATGATGGCAATTTGCTTTGTCATTTGGCATATAAAGAACCTTAATTGTGGGCTGATGCTCCTTCATCGTGCTATTTAAAATACATTATAAACTTGAAGACACCTTCGTGGATTGCTTCAGTCACAACCAAAAATCTGAATGTTGGAAAGAGGATCTTGAAAAAGTCTTAACATGATACCAGTGCCATTCCGCATGTTCACAGTTTCCACCTGCAATATTTGGGTCAAACTATTTTTAAAGAATGGAATTTATTACGGCATCAAATTTGTAATCGCGAGTTTCTAATAAAGATCGCGAAAGTACATTAAAGTCAAGCATTTGTAACATTCTACAACCATTTTACAAGGAATCAGGATCAAAGCCTGATATCCCTTTCGCCCCACCGGGGGCAAGATCCAGAGGTCCACCGATGTCGGCGCCGAAAATATCGTGGATGGCACGCTGAAAATGCCTGTAGTTTTTGTTGCAGCCTTTCGTGCAACACCATAATTTGCATGTTTTTCCCAGGCGAATGCATACGCAATACTTGATGTTTCCGCCAACGATTCACCGGTTCAATTCATGCCGTTCATACCGGTTGTCTTTCAAACAGGAAAGCGTTTATTTTGCTAGTCGCTATTCGCCAGATAACTTCAATTTGAAACAATGCAGCGACCCCTAGAGACCCTTTATTCAAACCTCTATGTAATGAGTTAAGAAATTTATACTACAGTGACAGTTCATGGATATAGAAAAGCCAGACTTCAAACTATGCAAGTTTATTGTAGCCCTTACCCATCTCCACATCAGTACCAGCAAATTACTTTTGAGAAAAACTCAAAATTTTTTTCTGCCAAAGATTAAGCTAAAATTTTCAGAGTGAAAATTACAGTTAAGGACAGCTTAATGCCATCACTTATTTAGCATTTCACTCTGACTATTATCTCCTATAAGTATATGCAAGGTGTGCTATATAGCAATCACTTGTAGCATTGTATTTGCAAATACAAACAGAATATAACCAACATGTTTTAATTATATAATTACATGAATGTTCTATTGGTTCATGTGTCATGCTTACTGGTTATGATAAATATCTTTTCATATGATCAAAGCTTGTTTAAATGTAAATCTAAAATAATTTAATTTAGAAATTATAATGATCATCGTGAAAATAACCTAGTGATCATGAAAATACTTTTGCTGTTTTGCCAAATTTCAAGGTTTATCTGCATACATAGAAAGACATTTTACTTTATAGAAAATGTGCTTTTCATACATCAATAGCCCTTTGGAATTTTATGGCAAACAATCTGGTATGAGTTGTGATTAACACACCTTACATGTCTACATGAGGTGTCAGTTAGAAAAGGGACAATATGTGACATGGGACAACATTTCATGTATGTGAAGTACTAAGGTTTAATACCATTCCAGTCAAATTGTCAAAATAAAAGCTTCATGGATCATAAGACTCAAAATCACAGGTTATAGTAAACAGCTTCTCAATCAATGTTAGTTTTCTCAAATCTTAAACAATATGTAGTATAACTGTCTAATGATTGAATGATCAATGATCACAAACTGAAAAGCCCCAAACATTTGTTTATGATAAAGTAAATATAGTATGGGGCCTTATGGCTACAGATTTTTGTCCATTGAAATATATCAGAATGTAGGATTTCGCTGCCATATAACGGTCAATGATTCCCCAAGCACTAAAGAAATCATAGCTAAAAGTCCTTCGGCAACAACAACAATTTTAGAAGCATCAATCTGCTTACCATACGGCATATTAACATAAATCGCATCACACACTCGCATAATTGACTTGATATATTACATTCATGCATACACTTCAGTTGTCCTTTACTTACGATTTTGGATGTAAATTTCTGCGATAACTCAAAACAATGTTGGCTTGCTTTTGAACATCAATGAGTGAAATGTCGCCTGCGAGATAGTCTTGCAAGCATTTACAATTCATCCATAAATTTTGCCCTCTTGAAAAAATTCACAGTTTGGAAAGCAGCATTCATGTCAATATATGAACTTTGTAAAGATTATAAATTCCATCTGATTGTAGTTTAGTTTCTATCATGCTTATTAAAATCACTATGAAACTATCAAACATTCAATTCAGACAGTGAGCTTGACTATGTTAGTTCAGTTGGCTATCAGTCGAAATCGTCAAACCAATCACAATGAAACAAAATTCAAATGAACCAATTGTAAGATAGCAATTGGACTCCTTTATACGTCCGCCACCCTATTATCAGTCGAGATTATTCCAGACTGTCCACTGATCTGGCCATTGACCAATAAAATATGCGTTTTGGCGTTCATAGACTCTTTATCCGTCGAACCAGTCAAGCCACCCCGCTTATCAGTCGGTTATTCCAGGTCACCAACTGATCTGGGTTACCAACGAGATATTCATTGGATTAGTCATTAGTTTTCAATAATAAATAAAGCTGGATTTTTATTACGAAGTAAATGCGATAATAACGTAAGAATAATTAATGAATTTTTAATTAATATGAATAGGTAATTTGAATTTCAACATCAGTCGCGCGACGGATTTGACATATCTAGATCCGCCCCTGTTCTAACTCGCACAAGTATAACCATGATTGAATGTTGGCAAGTTGGCAAAAGCATCAGACCACAATAACAAATTTTGACTCTAAAACGTGTATTCTAACGATGCGATTCGACCTAAGTTGTCAAAATTACCTTCTTTGACATTGCTCGTGATGGCATACACAAAACAAAAATGGAATAGCCATATAATTATCGAGGACGCGCCGAACTGTTTCTCATTACTATATTTTCTACTACGAACTTGCTGGAGTTATCTTGCTGCCAACATGGCGGCAATGCCTGATTGCGGGCTAAAAGTTGACAACAAAATCTTCAAAGGTTGCGACCATTGAGTTCTATAATAACTGGAGCGGCTATCTTTACTGGGGCGAGGTCGCCAAAAAAATGGCGGCCAACGGACGTATTTCCGCTGAAATGATCGCTTTGCAGAAAAATAATATTCTCGACCTCCCCCTGGTGTCTATAGTAAATTATAAAGAATTTTTCAAAAACAAACACGATATCACAGAATATGGATATCGTTAGTTCCATATTCTGTGACGATTCTTTTTTGGCATTTCTTTTATAATGCCAACACTTCAATCGTTCAATTGTTGGATGTCGTAGTTTCCACAAAAAGGTACATATCGCTTCCCACAGGTGAGGTAGTTGTTTGTTTTGTTAGTCCGTCAACGATTGAAAAGCAATTATACATGCACTTGAAAAGCCATAAAATACATATTAAAGATCGTATTTTTTAAGACTGACTTGAACGCCAAATATACTGATGTTTTCCTGTTTTTGTCTATAAATTTCTGCATACTTTTCTGTCATTTGTTAATGCATGAAATCGTAAATTTACCTATCTATTTGCAAAATAGTTTCCTAAAGCAAAAAGACCCTGCACACATTTTGCTCTGTGAAAAGTATCAAGAAGAAATGATCAGCCCCAACAGTACCCATGATTTGGAGCAGAGCTTGTTATGACTATTTGCTGACAACATGCAGGAAGACAAAGATGATATTGATCAGGCAGAGTCTTAAAAATGATAATGCTGTAAAGATAATTGATTTATTGTCTGCCTTATCCAGAGTTATTTAATTTGATCATGGTCAAATTCTATGGATGGAGACAATGGATTCACTAATGATGCCTTGAATGCTTTGAAGTTGAAGTTCATGAACCAAAAAGATGGCAAGAAGGTTGTGTGTTTTGATGCTTAATTAAATGTCAATTCACAACATATAAAATGGAAAGGCCATAAAGTTTGTGTCTATGTAAACATTTGTACTGAGATTGATGATGACTTGATGCAGATGTGAAGCATTAAACTGAATAAGCCATTGGGTTTTATATAACATAATGTTTAAATCATGGCATATCTTTATCAAAATATTTTAGTTGAGTGTTGTTTAAATGTTACTAATATCTAATGCACTATACTGAAGCATTAAAGATTCAGTGATGAAACCTTTAAATTTACTGTACTGTATATTTCTTATATATTTCTTATATTTCTTTAAGAAACAGTTTGAGCTTATTTACCTATTAGAGTACAGAATGGGATTTATCATATGCATCATTGCTGCTTTTTAAATAAATGTTTTCACTTTTCAAAGCTTTTCTACTAATATTTTGCTTCTTATTTCTTTTCATGAGATTGATGATATAGAGGTAATATAATCCAATAACTTTATAATTTCTAGAAAGCTGTTAAGCTTCTAGCATAAAAGTACACTATAGGTATTTAATTCATTTGTTTTTATTGCCTTGTTATGACATATCCATATGCATTTCATCATTCATGTATGAAGAAAACACCAAATGTGGATACTCAGAGAACAAAATGCACTACCAACTGCTTATGAAATTTATTATTGAAGTGAAAACTGTTTTAATCATTCAAATTGTGCACTTATATTGAAAATATAGGAAAAACAAAACAAAGTGAAAAAGAAGGGTAGAAGTATTAAAACTAAAAATGAATTATAAACACCATTGGAAGCATAAGTGTTTTGATGATTATTTGCATTTTGCCCAATTTATATATCAATACAACAAAATCAAAATGTGCTACAACTTTACAAGTATTTGATGCAGTTGCACTTCAGAACATCACAAAAAGGTTACTTAAAGTAATTTCTATACAATATTGTTTGTTTTCATTTACCAAACCTATGCAGACTTGAGTCTTTTGAAATTTAATATGAAACTCAATTACAGAAAATACGTAAATATCCAGAGATTTAATATTTACTTTTAAAGAAACAAGTAAAAGAAGCAAAATAGCAATGATAAAAATAAGCTAACTTCTCTCGTGAACCACTGTGGAGATGAACTATTATATACTTTTTTGTATAGACTAAAGAGTTTAATCGATCAAACAAGTTTGACACTGGTAAGAAAACGACGCATATCTGCATTCATAGATGTGTAGCCGACATATAGCTCTTTCGTCGATAGTTATAAATACATCCTCGTAGGAGCCGATAACTGGAAAGCTAGGTTGACTCGCTGTTACGAATTGTAGGTTTTTATCGTGATTTTCATCAAAAAATTGCTTGCCGAATCCCAAATACACACATACATTTTCCTCAGGAGGGAGTGGGAAATTGTGAAATTTTCGGAAAAGCGGTCAATTTCGGTAAATCTCAGCGGCAACGGACGAAATCCGCCATTTTTTTGGCGTCACCAGATATCTAAGGCCGCGCTTGAGATAGCCGCTCCAGTTATTATAGAACTCAATGGTTGCGACCAGAGTGGCCCTTCTGGTTGTATCTATTCTGTGCCTTAGCTATCATTGCGCGAAGGACGACAGAGCTACAATCTACTCTAGTCTAGTGCCGGCTGCAATGGCCAATAAAGAGGTATGCATGTATGTAAAATCCCTTTGTGTAATAAAACGAATACTTTACAAAGTGATAAATTAACAAAATTTCTTTGATGGATTTTAGTTAAATTATTTTCATAATATTCTGTACGTCGCTTGTTCGATGCAGCATCCATGAGTTCTTTAGTGGCTATATTCAAAGCTTTGTCACGAATTATTGAAAACAACGCTTGCTTAGCGGTTACTCGAGCTAACGGCTATAATGAACAGCTTTGTTGATGTTTTTGCAGTCTGCATAGTTTTATTGCAATAGAATCAATTTGATGTAATTGAGAGTATCCAGTGCACACAAATATAATCATTAGCAAAGTTCAAAAGTTCAGAGTGAAATTCCAGCAGTCAAAAGTAGGATTTGAAAAAGGTGTCGAGAGTAAAATGATGCGATGAAATAATAGATTGTAAACTTATTCACTGAGGATAATTCTCTTTGATTTTTCGCAGCAAGAGAAAGCGCCATTTGCAAGGCACAAGTACGCGCCGATGTTGTTGAAATACCGAATGTATTTCACTGAACTTGTTTATGTTCTAGAATATTGAATCAGTGAGAAGACTTATTCTTCTTCGTATATCACTAAAAATGAATGCCAAGCGCTCGTGCTTATTTTGAAGTCATCCAACCGTTAATTAAATGCCAAGTTACACAATTTACATAACAAAAAGTTTTAGTATTACACTTTACAAAGGTCTACTTTGTTTTTTGTATCAGTAATTTTCTTACTGATATATGAACTATTCTATTGGGATTGGCCAAACTATGCTGCTCTCCAAACGTCAGCGGGTGCTCACAAGACAGCTCCCAATAACACTAATTTTTGAATTGCGACCAACCTCAAGTGAATTATCAACAATGTGGCTCGCCCACGACGGCTGGTGCCCATATTAGCATTAATAAAATATTCTTTTGTATTTCACCACCATCATTGCAGTCATGACGTAATGTTCTTTTGGATCAGACCACTAACATTATGACCACTAACACATACATGGCTAAATTGCAAATCAAGTCAAGAATGCAAAACTGTCTCAAGGACAGACTATAATTCTATCTTTCTTGATGTAATAAATCTTACATAATTTTGGTGAGAACTACCTATGCTCCAGGTGGCTGCAAATGCGAGCTGGTGCGATCTTTGGGATATTCATATATTCATGTTCTCCCGTACTAACCTTTTCTTTTTCAGTGTAGCAGATCTGCAACAATCACCACACGAAAGGGCAAATCACTTTTGAAAATATTCGCCACCTAAAGTGTTAAGTTCCTTTTAAATCAACTGTTTTCTGCAAATTATGTTGTGCATATGTGAAAATTGCCCCACAATTATCAAGTAAAGCTATAGAACTGAATAGCTCATAGCTAGGGCTAAAATGAATATGAACAGAAACCAGTATGCCATTTTCCGGTGACCAGGAAGACTGTAGGCACATATAGCAGTAAATAGCGTGGGAAGGCTGTAAGGCTTGATTTTTGCATCGTAAAGGTTTGTTTGAGTTATACTAATTATAGTCTGTGGTATTTACATTTACATAGTGAGTCCTCCGTCCCAATTTGTACACGGAACTTCGCCAGAAATTAAAGATTAACGAGTGAAAAAGCAAAAGCAACGTTATAGATGTTAACTCTACTGTTAGATTTGGATTTTGGACTACGGTTAACAATTATGGTTAGGGCAGTGTGGCCAGATTTGGTGATTCTTATTACCAGATCTTTTTAGCTTAGACAATCCACCTGATTTACGTAATTATAACATTTAAAACAAGGGGAAGAAATCAGCTCAGATCAATGAATTTTTTATAATAAATTATTCAGATATGGTGGCACTGGGTTAGGGTTAAGTCTTGTTTAAGCTTTCGAAATTTGAAATCAAATCTGTGTTACCAACTTGCATGAACTTTAAATAGCATGCCTCTTTCGCTTTTCTGGCACTGTGGCACTTTTTTGCTGATTAGCGACTTAAGTTGATTGCTAAATTGCATTTGGCTCAAAAGCTGTTTATTATTATCTGCAATGACTATACCTAAAATACCAAGAAAAATTTTTTTGTCTTAAAATGTAGCTATGTTAAGAAAAGCCGTCGCTGACAATAAAATTATAAACAGGTATGCTGAAGTTTATAAAGGTGTTTATAGATAATTTCATTAAAAGCTAAGAATTGAAAAAAATTAACCTTAAACGTGCCCTTAGCACGTCCAATGAAAGAAATCGTGCTGATGAAATTATCTCCAATCCACGCTCATTTCAGAAGTACTTGCAGCTCATATACTAAATAATTTGAAGGTGGGGCAGGCGCGCAATCTAAAGTGAAGGGTCTATACCATGTAGATGTATTAAGCAAATATTGCTTCTCGCCTATGTGCTCTACCGTAACTTGGGTGTGGTGCTTGGCGGATGGAGGATACTTTCACCCGACGATAATTAGAAAAAGTGTGGCCCAACAACAAACTAGGGGTAAAAACATGAGCAGCTACTACTCGGTTTCTATGGATAAGATGTCAATTATGAAAAACCATTTAATTGCTACAGGACCCAAGAAATAGGATTAGTAAAATATAGCTTTTACGTAAAAAATAACAATTTTAATTTTATAAACATATTTAAGGCAGCATAAAATTCGTAATAAAGTTGAGAAAGCAAAAAGAAAAGCTCTTTAATAAACGTTTTGCCCGACGAATTTGTTGTCAGTTGTGGAATTGCCCGACAAAACTGCAGTGCTATTGCTGCCACGCATCAGCGTGGCAGCACACTAATCTTGACATGTCTCGGCCCATTCCTCTACTCGACCTATATAGAGGTAAAATCTTGATTTGTGTCTGTCTGTCTGTCTGTTAACATTTCTGGGGGGGATTTTTACGGAATGAGGGGGGAAGAACAATCATAATAAGGTAGAACCTTTCGGAACTCCTGTCAGTTTCTCTTTGATTTTAAATGTCCGGAATGCGAATAGATATGCGGCCTAAACAACGTTATACAGTAGATACCAAAATCGAGTGATTACCGACATCAATTACACATATCTCGTTTGGCGAAAAACACATGAAATCGATTCACCGTGCCGTATTTAGCCAGCTCGGTTCACATTTTTTATCTTGCGCTCTATGGTCAGACGGTGAGCAAAATATAGTGTAAGCATGTATTTATTTTCGTTCGAGCTTTTATTATTACTTGAAATATCGGTGTGGATTTAACAAAACGTCAAAAATAATTTAAACGCATGGTGCGAGTTCAACGATGAAATATGAATTATGAATATGATGAAACGTTTGCTCTTTGCGATAACTATACATCATTTTATCGCAGTCGCACAGAATCATCGGAAAAAAGGTTCTATCAAAATGTTATAAAGGAAATAATGGAAACAAAACTACAGTTTTATAATATAGTCCGTTTCTACGTTTGTAAACATGCGGACGATTGTTCGGTTGAGTAAACAACGTATCATACTTTTAATCAAAAGCATTTTAAAACTCAAAAGAATCAAAACAATCAAGACATTTAAAAGAATCAAAAAAATGTTTTCATTCAAAATGGCAAGGAATTTATCTTTTAATTTTATGATGAAAACGTATGACTGACGAGAATCGATTGAGCATTGAAGCACTCACCTCCATATAAGGTGAACTGTGCGTCGTTTGTGCATGCCGATTGGATAGAAATTGGAATGCTATGATTAAACGATCGTGACTAAAACACCACACGAGTACATACGAGTACATACGAGTGACATACATACGAGTAACATACAAGTACATACAAGTAACATACGAGTACATACGAGTGACATACGACTATTTTCTGGTCAACAAATGAGAAACAACACAATTTCTTCAATACATTGATATTTGCGTTTATTTTTCCTTGTATTTGTGTGGACTTTGGGGCAACCATTTGATGGATTTAAATGCTGAAAAGGTATTTTACTTTTATACTACATTCATTTGTATGTTTTAGTTGAATTTGTTATAGATATTTTTCGATGCGATTTGCCAGTATTTGAGCGCTTTTGAAACACTTTCACCTAGAAATACATATTTATGAAAGCGATTAAATAAACAACGTATAAATAATGCTTTCAAAACGTGCTACATGAAATAAATTGTACATTATATATATTTGAATTAAATGAGAGTTGCACTGTTACGTATAGTCCTGAGACGGACTGTTTTTGTTGTTGTTGACTGACGTTTCGACAACCTTAGCGGTAGTCATCTTCAGAGTCAAAATGAATGTATAATCGCTTTCATAAATATGTATTTCCTAGGTGAAAGTGCTTCAAAAAGCGCTCAAATACTGGCAAATCGCATCGACAAAATATCTATAACAAATTCAACTAAAACATACAAATGAATGTAGTATGAAAGTAAAATAACTTTTCAGCATTTAAATCCATCAAATGGTTGCCACAAAGTCCACACAAATACAAGGAAAAAAACGTATCAATGTATTGAAGAAATTGTGTTGTTTCTCATTTGTTGACCAGAAAATAGTCGTATGTCACTCGTATGTACTCGTATGTTACTCGTATGTACTTGTATGTTACTCGTATGTACTCGTATGTTACTCGTATGTACTTGTATGTTACTCGTATGTACTCGTATGTACTCGTATGTACCATTCAAGTTTGTATGTGTATAAAAGTGATTCCTCGCTAAAACAACTGAGTAACATGAATCCAGGTGAAAACATATGATATACTAACAAAGAAGCACAGGAGACTTAAGAGATACATATATGACACCATATAACGATTTGTATTGATGGATGTGTTGATCTTGTGCTGTTGGCAACCAAGTGAATGAAATTCTGAAAATTTCATTTAAGCTCCGGTTAACATGATTTAATTGTTATTGGCCGAGTTCTAAATGACAATATGCAAATTTTTTAAAATGAGCTTTGAAAACTGTTCATCCAATTATTCCATTTTGAAATTAGCATAATTATACATACATACAGTGTTACTTCTTGCATCTACTTCTATAAAT